CTTACATCACCTCTAGAACAAGAATGGCAATAAATAATATATATATATATATCTGTAAAAAGTACCCTATCAGTTTTACAATTGAAACACTATAGAAGTTTGGAGAGAGAAATCACATCTCCATGGGGTAATTCATATTTGTCAAACATTATTTATAATTATGTGAATTGTTTTTAGTGGCTATAACAAACAGCATATGAAAATGCTTATGTTGGTACGCCTGGGTGGCTCTGTGGTTGAGTGTGTGCCTTCAACTCAGGGCGTGATCCTGGGGTCCAGGAATGGATCCCCTACAGGGAGCCTGCTTCTCCCTCTGCCCGTGTCTCTACCTCTATCTGTGTCTTTCATGAATAAATAAAATCAGAAAGGAAAGGAAAGGGAGAAAGAAAAGAAAAAAGAAAAGAAAGAAAAGAAAAGGAAAGGAAAAAGAAAGAAAGAAAGAAATGCTTATGTTTAAAAAGTAGATTGCAATATAGTTATGAGTACAATGTTATATAAAATGTAAAAATGCATTAAAAAATAAAAAGCTAGAGGGAAAAACACTAGCAACAAGTAGTTTTCTCAGGTCAATTTGAGAAAGGAGGGAGCAAGGTAGATGGATTTAGAGATATATTTTTAAAATAAAATATATAGTCACATAGTTTCAAAAGTTAAAAAACAGCTGTTCTAGGTCCTGCTCTGGGTGATGAAGACAGCAGTGAAATAGAAATAACAATAGGAAAGGTAATAGCTACTGACATTTATTGCTATATAGTAGTCTCCTTCCCATGCTTTCCCTCTACCAACTAGTTCCCCTCCCCCCCAGACCAATACTATTACTTTATTGTGCATCCTATCAGAGACACTTTATGCCTGATAAGCAAATATATAGATTTATTATAAATAGTTCTCTTTCTCTTCAATGAATGGTACCTTTACAAACATACAAACTGTTTTGTACCTTGCTTTAGTCAACTCAATATATTGGAGAGTTTACTTTTTCTTCAATAATATATTGAGAGTTTATTTATTCTCTGTAATTGTTTCGTAGTATCCCATTTAATGGGTTACTGTTATTTATTTAACTAGTCCCTGTCTGTACTAATTCTTTGCTAGTATATAAAGTGCTGCAGTGAATAACTTTGTTACTTATGTCATTTTGTACTTGTCCACAATATCTATCTGATAGGTTCCTAGAAGTGGAATTGCTGGGTCAGTGCATTTGCATTTGTAATTTTGATAGATCAAGCTCAGTGGACTAAATCACCTGGGGAACTTTTTCAGTGTTCTTATGCTTGTCTCCCTTAATATCTGGGAAATTTGGGATGCCTGAGTGGCTCAGAGGTTGAGCGTCTGCCTTTCGCTCGGGGCGTGATCCTGGGATCCAGGATCGGATCCCACATGGGCTCCCTGCATGGAGCCTGCTTCTCCTTCTGCCTATGTCTCTTCCTCTCTGTGTCTCTTGTGAATAAATAAATAAAATCTTAAAAAAATATATCTGGGAAATTTTTTGGTTTTGTTTTTTATTTTTCTATGTATCTGAGATGGAGCTCAGTATCTTAATACTTTTAAGTTCCTAGGGTGATTCTGATGTTTACCCCAGAAGAAAGAGGATGTTAGACCCTTGTAAAATGGAATGTGTACCAAAAAAGCATATCGACTTTTATTTTATTTTATTTTATTTTTTTAGCATATAGAATTGTAGAACAAAAGAGCAGCTCTTTCTACCCATGGGTCATATCCTTGCGCTTTAATAAAAATGCCTTTTTGCACTGAGAAAAGAAAACACAAAAAGTAAAACAAAAGAAAGTGGGTTACGTATGGGGCTCAGAAAGGCAGCATGCTCCCAATTTTTGTAGAAGTATGACAGTGGCTGCTTTAATTTACATATCCAGATTACTGCTGTCTCCAGCATCTTCCCCTCCCATGATATTATGGGATATCCAAGCATTGCAAGATGAAGACATTAGTCTTTCAGGTACTGATAAAGGGATGCAGTAGATGTCATGGTAATCAGAGTTTGGTATGTTCCAAAGGAATGGGTGTGTGAAATACAGGATTTTGTACAACCTGTAGAAATTAGGAAAACTGCATAGCACCTAACCTGCTGTTCTGGGTTAGGCTGAGCCAAGTAGGAAATATAATTGCTTGGAAGTAACTTAAAACACACCAAAATGTCAAAGGCTTATTCTGTTCTAGCTTCTGTGCTAGGCAAAGATAGTAATAAACAAACCAACCATGGTAGTAATAATTGGGCACTGAGTATGTGCCAGGTATTATGCTGAAAGTTTCACAAATATTTTCTCATTGAATCCTAATCCTAGGAACTGTGGTCACTATTACATTCCCCTTTAACAGTTGAGAAAAATGAGCTTCATAGATATTAAATTACTAACTTACTGAAGATTGTGCATGTATCTACTGCATAGAATTGTTTGAAGGTTAACGAATAGTACTTAGAAGAATAGTACCTGCTACGTAATAAATGCTCAACGGTATTAGTTATTATTACTAAAGTACAGAGGAAATACTAATAATCCTTTGCCTAGGGCATACCTCAAAGAAGAAAAATTTAAGTAGGGCTTTTCTTAGGAAAGACAGATATTTCAGTAGAAGAAACTGTAGTAAAGGGATTGGTGGCCTGATTTGGCTACTGCATAGGGTGATTAGTGGTAAAATGGTAGAAGAGGATGAGAAATGAAAGGCTTCATGAGAGGGTGGGGCAGAGAGCTCTTGAGCTATTTTGAAAGAATGGGCATAACTCATTTTAGGAGACAGAGGGGATTGGGATCATTTCAGGCAAAGATACAACACTTAAGAAAGCATAGAAGCAGTGTTGGCAGTATCTACTGCTATGTAGTAAACTACTGCAAAATTAAGTGGTTTAAAACAATTACTATTTTATTTACCCACAGTTCTATTAGTCACATATTTGGGCTAGGCCTAACTAGGTAATTCTGGTCTCACCAAGGGTCACTCATGTGGCTGCAGTCATTTGGTGGTGCCACTGGGGCTAAATAGTATGATGGCTTCTCTCACAAATGTGGCTTTAATGATGGCTGTTGGCTGGACTTCTTCACATGTGGCAGTAGAAGAGTTGCAGGAGAACAGCAGAAGCTGCAAGGGTTCTTGAGGCCAAGGCAAGAAAGTCACACAGTGGGGATCCCTGGGTGGCGCAGCGGTTTGGCGCCTGCCTTTGGCCCAGGGCGCGATCCTGGAGACCCAGGATCGAATCCCACATCGGGCTCCCGGTGCATGGAGCCTGCTTCTCCCTCTGCCTATGTCTCTGCGCCTCTCTCTCTCTCTCTCTCTCTCTCTCTCTCTCTCTGTGACTATCATAAATAAATAAATAAATAAATAAATAAATAAATAAATAAATAAATAAATAAGAAAGTCACACAGTGTTGCTCCACCACATTCTATTAGGCAAAACAGTCACAAGGCCAACCTAGATGCAGTAGGAGGAAAAAGACACTGCCTCTTGATGTGAAAGAACATGCGAAGAATTTGTGGCCTTCCCCCATGCCCTCAAATCTTCCACAAATGGATGAGTCTAGGATGTGTAGCCTTTTCCTCACCCTAAGTAGTGTTTCCTCCAAAGTTAATTATAGAAGTTACTTTAATCACCTTTATTACCTGGCCCTCAACTCTGTTTCTCTTAGAATGAAGACAAAATATAAATTAAAGTGAAAAAATCTTTACTGAGAATTAACTAACTGAATTTTGAAAACTGGGCTTATAAAACAGTTTTGAGAAAATGTAATTTTTAATATTTTCACAAACTTGAACTTGATTAACAGTGGTGTAGAGAATTCCTCGGGGTCCTGACTTCAGTAATAGACTAGGATTATGTGTTATTAACACATCATTTATTAGTATTTGATTAAATACTTTGGTGTTAAAATTTTTTGAGGATTACAGTATTTGACCATTTGAACTCTTTTATTTATTTATTTATTTATTTATTTATTTATTTATTTATTTATTTATTTGATTTTGTTTATTTTAGAGAGAGGAGAGTGCAAGGGGAGGATTGACAGGGGTGGGGGGAGAGAGAGAGAATCTCAAGCAGACACTGAGTGCCGAGCTCAATGTGGGGCTTACAACCTGGGATCCTGATGAGCAGAAATCAAGAGCTGGATGCTTAACTGACTGAGCCTACCAGGTGCCCCTAAAATCTTATTTTTGTTTTTAGTAATCTCTATATCCAACATTGGGCTTAAACTCACGACCCTAAGATCAAGAGTCACGTACTCTTCTGACCGAGCCAGCCAGGTGCTGCAACAACCATATAAAATTTTGACCATTTCCTAGGTTATTTACTTATTTATTTTATTTATCCTAGGAAAATTATTGTATTCATATTCTGTGCAAGTTAACATCTACAACCACCTCCCTTCACCTACCTTAGAATGATCTGAGATCCTGAATTAGATTCTGAATTAAAGATGTTTTTATCTCTTTATTCAACTAACTTTTGCCAGTACTCAGCAGATACAAATGTGATTTCCTCTGAGTTATATCAGTTCTGTGGTTTGCTATTTAATTCTGCTTTCCATTCTGAAAGAGTTCTTAGCCTTTGTTCATTAATCATAGGAAACAGTTGTGCAACATGCCTTGACATTAACTTGAACATCTAAAATTAGTCTTGCTACAATCAGTGGTTGGGAACAAGGTTTCAGTAGTTTGTGACATGTGTTAAGTAGACATTGCAAGGTTGGAAGGAACTCCCTAGAATTAAGTAAGTAACTTGCATTGTGTGTGGGTACCTGTGTATGTATACAATTGAAGTTCTATTTGTATTAAGCATATGAACAAATTACATCTATTACTACAAATGCATCATAAGCATCTTTCCCTATGCACTGTACTGTTTAATTATTTCAGAAGAAAAATGTATTTGAAAACTTGGCATGCTAGAATGAATTTTTCTGCATGTTTGTTTTGTGATTTTAATTTTTTAACAAAATAATTATATATATCATTATTTCAAGTAAATGGCTTTTTTTTTTCCTTTTCAGAATTTATAGAAACTCATTCACAAAAATGACATCCTGGTTGTATGAATGTCTTTGTGAAGCTGAACTTGCACAGTATTATCCTCATTTTACTGCCCTTGGCCTTCGAAAAATAGATGAATTAGCCAACGTTACAATGAAAGACTACTCTAAATTGGGAGTCCGTGACATGAACGACCGCAAACGTCTCTTCCAACTTATCAAAATCATTAAAATTATGCAGGAAGAAGATAAAGAAGTCGGTAGCCCAGAGCATCCTCTTCAGACAAACTGCCTGTGCAGTAAGCCTTGGGAATCCAGATCTGGCCCTCGCCGGCAACTGCATTTTGATTCTCCTGCTGACGACAAAGACAGAACTACCAACAACAATGGGTTTGAACTGTGCAGTTTATCAGATTTTTCTGTAAATGAACAGAAGTCTAGTTACCTAAAAGTGCTAGAACACATACTGCCGGATGATTCCCATTACCATACAAAAACAAGAATTCTGAATGCCACAACTGCTGGTTCCTATGTGCAAACAGAAACTAACACTTCACTCTTTTCATCAAATCACTTTTCTCCAATCCCGGGGGATTATGATATTCCCATTATTCAAAGAATCTCTCATGTTTCAGGGTATAACTATGGAATCCCTCGTTCTTGTAGCAGGTAATCATTTTTATATTTTTGGGGGGTATGATGGAGAGGGTAGCATCAGGCAAGGGCAAGCCTCCATGATTAAGAGCACCCACTCCTTATTTACAGAAAATTACAGTGAACAGCTTCTGCAATAATAATAGCAGTACCTTGATGGGGTGAAGTTCATGAGGAATTGGGACTTTCCAGATGGGAGAAAGATGATATTGTTCATGTATGTCAAACAGCTGCTACTTGCCAGGATCTGCTATTATTCCGTTAGCAGACCTATTTCTATTATTTATTATAGTGTAACATGATACATATAATGCATCCTTGAAGGTAAAATAGTTAACTGGCCTTCTGCAATGGAAAAAATGTGTGTATTCCACAGGTTTTTTTTTTTTTTTTAAGGTTATCAGATGCACTTCAACCAGGAGATATAGAGCTTAAAAACAAAGAGCATGTAGTTGAATTAAGTAGTTCTTTCTTTTTTCTTTTCTTTTTTTTTTTAAGATTTTATTTATTCATGAGAGACAGAGAGGCAGAGACACAGGCAGAGGAAGAAGCAGGCTCCATGCAGGGACCCCGACATGGGACTCAGTCCCGGGTCTCATTGGACCCTGGGCCGAAGGTGGCACTAAACCGCTCGCTGAGCCACCCAGGCTGCCCAAATTAAGTAGTTCTTTCATGCAATTAGTTTACCTGCACACATTGAAATATGGTCCTGATTTTGAGTGCTTTTTTCTATTCCAGCCCTGCAAGAACATATGATTTTGGTGATTGCAGAAGGCTAAGACATTTTAATGTAGCTTAGACTTTGAGACTCAGGGTGACAATAAATTATTTTCACTTAGTGCTTTAAGTTAAATGTTGAAATAAAGGTCCATAGGAGCTGAAATATTGAATAATCTCTAATACCAGAATTGGTATAATAGAAAGCATGTTCTTTTAAAAACAACACATATTTGTTGTTTTGTTATTTTAAAAGTTATACATGGCAAGTTATGGAGAAACAAAATACCTTCTTTTTTTTTTTAAGATTTTATTTATTTGACAAAGAGCACAGCAAAGGGGGAGCGGCAGGGAGAAGCAGGCTCCCTCCTGAGCACGGAGCCCAGTGCTCAATCCTAGGACCCTGGCATCATGACCTGAGCTAAAGGCAGACACTTAACCAACTGAACCACCCAGGCGTCCTGAAACAAAATACATACTTAAGCCACATTTCCTTTTCTTTCCTTTTCTTTTTTAAGGCTATTATTCATACTTTAAAACAAGGTGTATATTTACATCTGGTCTTATATTGGCTAAGGTTTCAGAGGATCTCATAACCAGTTCTTTTATTCACCCCAAAAATAAAAGACTCAATTTTACAGGTAAAAGTGCTTTTAGTAATTTGAAATACATAGTGCATTTTATAGTATTTCTGAAAACTTTATTTGGTTTAGCAGAGCATAGAGTATATAGTACTCTTTTCTTCTTTTAATTGTTAGAGAACTAGATTGTTCCATGACTATCAAAGCCAGGATTGTTTCTGTCCCATTAGTTAGCTCTGGTAAAAGAAGAGATATTTTCTTGAATATTACAATCTTGTATTGAACAACACATACAAATCTAAACTGGAATTATTTATAAATAAAGATACCACTTTACATTATTTATTTGGACAGAATGAATATTTTAGTTTAAATACTGCTATTTCATTTATGTGGCACATATTAAGTATCACCTCTTCTAGGTCTGATTCTAGTTGTAAAGATAATTAGGATATGTGGAGGCTCTTAGACTCTTAGGGGGAGTGAGTGGGATGACAAACAACCATATGGTGAGGTAAGTGCTCTTATCAAGGTTTATACATGACAAACCCAGAATGAAAGCTGTTCCATTGAGCTTTCTTACTTTTAATGTCATTATTTTCTCTCTCTTCTCACTCTTTATTATGTGAGGGAAATAGAGATTAGAAAGGACATTTCCTCCCAATAGTTCTCATATTCTCACCCAGATGTTTCTAAGTAGCATTCAAGGTTTTAGAACCCTGAGAAACTCCCTCACCAACTTAATGCTTACTGTTAGGATGTCATCTTGTCCAAAGTGCATTCTCTTTGGATGCCTCAAATCAAGTAAGCTCAAAATAAATTAATAAAAGTCTAATGAATTTAGAGATCTTAAATAGACCTAACTCCAGCTGTCTTAACTCTTCATGTCAGGAAGATACAGCTTATCTCTTCTAAGGAATGTTGGGCATTAAAACCAGAGCCTTCTAGTGGTACCAGGGTGGCTCAGTCGCTTAAGTGTCTGACTGGCTCAGGTCATGATCTCAGGGTCCTTGGGATTGAGCCCTGTGTCAAGTTTCCTGCTCAAGGAGGAGTCTCCTTCTCCCTCTGCCCCTCCCCCTCCCACTCATTTTCTCTTTCTCTCTCCAATAAATAAATACAATCTTTAAAAAAGAAACAGAGCCTTTTAGCAGAACATTCATTCCTTTTTGCCCCTTGAACTTGAAAACTGTAGTCTTTTTGACCACATGATCCATCCTAGAGTCCTTAGTCAATTTTGTTTTTTTTTTAAACTTTTTTTTTATTTTTTATTTATTTATGATAGAGAGAGAGAGAGAGAGAGAGAGAGAGAGAGGCAGAGACACAGGCAGAGGGAGAAGCAGACTCCATGCACCGGGAGCCCGATGTGGGATTTGATCCCGGGTCTCCAGGATCGCGCCCTGGGCCAAAGGCAGGCACCAAACCGCTGCGCCACCCAGGGATCCCCCTTAGTCGATTTTGAAAAAGATTTTTTCTATCCCATTTAATTGGCTTTATACAATTAGGTTTTTAATACTTCCCAATAAAAATTTTGACACAGGCCCTTGTTAAAATAATGCATTAAATTTTTGTTTTGGGGGGCACCTGGGTGGCTCAATAGTTGAGCATCTGCCTTTGGCTCAGGGCGTGATCCCAGGGTCTTGGGATAGAGTCCCAGCAGCGAGCCTGCTTCTCCCACTGCCTGTGTCTCTGCTTCTCTCTCTGTATCTCATGAAAAAATAAAATCTTAAAACATTTTTTTTGTTATTAAAAAAATCAAACATATGCAGAAGGGAGAATAGAACAATGAATCCCCTACCTGCCCATCATCTACTTTTAATGATTGTCAAGATTTTGCCACACTTAACCTCAAAATGGTACATTTTTGAAAGTCTGCTGTGTTTTGGTTCATGAGAGACACAGAGACAGAAAGAGGCAGAGACACAGGCAGAGGGAGAAGCAGGCTGGGTCGCTCAATTAAGCGTCTGACTTTTCATTTCAGTTCAGGTCATGATCTCAGGGTTATGAGATTGAGCTCTGAGTTGGGCTCCACACTGGGTGTGGAGCCTGCTTCAGAGTCTCTCTTTCCCTCTCTCATTGCCCCTCCCTCCCTTAAATGCTTTAAAAGCCTGGTGTTGTCCTTTATGCACTATATAGAAATTTTATTCGCTCCTTTTTACTAATTTAAATAAAATCCTGGCAAAAAGTAATTTTCCAGCCAGTTGGAGGGCTCAGAAAATCGAAATTGATATGAAACAATTATATAGTGAAATATCCTGTGTAAAATCTATTATAAAAGGCTTTTTAGGGGCTATTAATCAAATTCTAAAGTGTAAAAGGAAGGGACTAATTTGTCTTGCTAAGGCAATCTTAGTATATGGACCAAAGACATTGATCTGGTAAACTACTTTCAAGAATCCTATTTTCTTGTTACTAGGTTAAGAGGAATTTCTATATAGGTAAACGGTCAGTTGTTAGAGATAAGTGTATATAGCCCCATTAGACTCAGTAAGTAAACCTGGTGAATTTTGTATCCCTAGCTCAAGGAATATTTCATCAAATATTCTAGCTGTTAAGATTGTTAAGTTCATTGAAGTCAGAGCCAGAGAAGAAATGCGTCTGAATAGAAGGCTGATAGTGGTGGGCAGCACCAGTTGTAAAATTGTCCCAGGAAGAAGAAATACAGGATTGTGTTCTAACAAATACAGATCAGGTGAATAAAAAGAGGAACTGAGAGAGCAAGACAAAGGGAGGGCAGAGTATACCAGGAGGAACAGAGAAAAAGTACATTGAAACCTACCACCTAGTTCAAGGTATTCAAGGATCAAGGTGATCCCAGGTAGGATAAAAAAAGAAATTAGATTGAATGATCAAGAAAACAGTAAATGTATAAGAATAATTGGATTGAGAGAAAGCAATAGATATGGGTTTTAGGTATTTTAAAGGCCTTGGAGGGGTGATCAAAACATAACTGTGTTTGATTTTGAGGAGTAACCAGCCTGATTTGGGGGGATATATAGAAAGACATATAGAAGTTTTTGGAAGACCACATCTGGAAGCCAAACATATGTCTTAGAGCTAGAGCAACTCTTAGGGTTTGGGAGTTTTTTTGTTTGTTTTTGGCAGGACAGAGGATGGAGTGGATTAGAGATAGAGATAGAAGTAATCAGGAGGATTTAGTTAGTAAAAGAACTTTCTATACACCTAATATGTATAAGTTACATATTAAAGTGTTGACACTGAGAAAGCTTTTTATATATGTAAGATGTGTATATAAGTTAGGTGTAATGTGTATATAAAATAACAAAATATACTGATACTTTGACCTCTTAAGTAGCTTTATCCTATTATTAATTAAAGCCCACTTCTAAATATATATCAGACAGAACACCTCAGAGAAAGAGAATCCTTGGACTGAGATGGAGAAAATTAGAGTTTGTGTTCGAAAACGCCCTTTGGGCATGAGGGAGGTACGTCGTGGAGAAATTAATATTGTTACTGTAGAAGACAAAGAAACGCTACTTGTTCATGAAAAGAAAGAAGCAGTTGACCTTACACAATATATTCTGCAGGTATGATGCTTTCCTTTTGTGTTTGGAATTAATATGATCAAGTGTGTAGATTTTTTTTTTGCTCTTATTTTAATGATAGCATACAAATTCTAAAACCCAATTTCTGCTTTGGGTGTTGGTATTCATACGTGATATAAATCATTAATACTCTGGACCTTCATTTTAAACAAATATAGTGCAATGGAGGAAACAAAAACGTAATTTCTGCATTCTAAGGCTATAGAATTGCATCATATATTTGCTTAACACGAATGTTATTATACCTCTTTGGCAAAAAAGGGTCTTAAGGGGATAAAAAGAATGTAGTGGTGGTAGGTAGGACTAGTCACTGAGTATATGCCCCAGAGTGACTCTGAGATGATCCCATAGTCAGTCTCAATTCTTGCCTGTATCTCACAGTATGAACTTATTATTAGGAGTATGAATCTGGAGTTTAATATGGAGGATATGTTTTCGAGCAACAAAATTCCAGATAGCCACTCAACTGCTTATTTTGGTTCTCAACTGTCTTTGGGTTTAGATTTAACTTGGTGGAAATTGAGCAGGTTAGTTTGTATAGAATAGATTATAGCAAGTAAATGCAGTCCAGGGATATGATTTCACTTTTACATCTAACATACAAGGATTTAAATAGAACACTAGTAACTTAGACACATAAGAAAGTGTTCACTCCCTGCCAGAAAGATAAGAGTCCAAGAAGAAAGAGTTTGATATTGAAAGGAACTTATTTCAAGCAACTAGATAACCTTGCAATAACTTCAGTCTCCTATGGAAGCAGCAGGCCATGAATGGAAGATGCCATAATTTAGGTACTCTTAAAATTATGAAGCAATTCTTTTTTTTTTAAGATTTTATTTATTTATTCACGAGAGACACACACACACAGAGAGAGGAAGAAACACAGGCAGAGGGAGAAGCAGGCTCCATGCAGGGAGCCGACATGGGACTTGATCCTGGGTCTCCAGGATAACACCCCGGGCTGAAGGCAGGCTCTAAACCGCTGAGCCACCTGGGCTGCCCTGAAGCAATTCTAAACAATCTAAAACGGAGGATAATCCACCAGATGTTAAGATTTGGGAATTCAAGTCTCTCTTAATCTGCCTCTATATACATTCATACTATTCTCTCTTGCTCTCTTGTCTCAAAACCCAGTAAATGGTAGAAGAAAAGTGGTGAGTAATCTGTTGTGCTAGCATTTCACCTTAGTCAGCTGAAATTTTACTCTCCTGGAATAAATATGTTAACACTGAAGTCAAATTGTTAACACTTTCCCCCTCTTTTATATTTGGCATTGTTCATCTTTTTCTTTGGTTATCAAAATTGGGTTTCACCGCAACATTCAAAGTAATCCACTGAGTCTTTCTATGGGCACTAAATTACTAGACCACTGTATAAACAACCCAATTACTTTAACAGCATTATTGACTGCTGATCAATGCACAATCTATTAGGTCTAGATGGGAGGTATTTATTTTGAAGATGGTCTAAATGTCAATTAGTTATAATGTTATCTAGTTCCATGTCTACTTATAACCATAGTAATAGTCCTGTCCAGTTGCCATCTACCCAAGAAGCCCTTAATGATGCTTCTGTCACAGTAATTCCCTCAAAGAAGCATTGTCTTATCTTTTGTATTTTTCCATTATTCCAAAACATAATAACCTTACTTCTTTGTCATTACCATTGGTCAATACTTATTGAACACCCATAGTTTTCATAGCACTTTCTCTGCAGTTTGAACTTTGGACCTTTGCTCTCATAGGTCAAAGTCCTTACCTATCAATGTCATAATACAAGTGCTGGGAGGGCTTTCACCCCCTTTTCTTTCCTTAAGTGGAAAGAAGAAAAAGGAGGTTGATAGCAAACCTAGCAAATAAATATTGATCCTAGACTCTTTGGGTTTTAATTTTTAAACTTATTCAGGAATTCAAACAATAGGTTTGTATATATCCATTTAATTAAATGTGCTTTCAAATCTTCTTTGTTATTTAGTATATATGATCATATATATGCAATGTGCTATCCTGCTTAGCATTTAATTTTGTATCAACATAATGTGTGGAAGGACAAGGAAACAAATTTGTATATATTTCATTCCATTTCTTAAATAAAGAAATATATATAGAACAAAGAGATGGTACTGAATATATCAAAAAGTCAACAGTGGCTATCCCTGGGTAGTAAGATTTGTAGATAATTTTATTTTCTTCTTTACTGTTTTCCATGTTTTTAAATTTGTCTATAATCAGCATGCTACTTTTATATAAAAAGCAAAAAAAAATTTTTTAAAGATTTTTATTTATTTATTCATGAGAAACACAGAGAGGCAGAGACATAGGTAGAGGGAGAAGCAGGCTCCCTGAGAGGAGCCTGATGCAGGACTTGATCCCAGGGCCCCAGAATCATGACCTGAGCCAAAGGAAGATGCTCAACTACTGAGCCACCTAGGTGCCCCTAAAAAGTAAAAAATTTTGAGTAACATAGATTTATTTGTTTGAAAATCAAAACATACAAAAAGGAATGCAGTGAAAAGTGTCCTGCTTATTCTATGTCCTCCTTGAAGGCAACCACTATTACCTGTTCTGTGTTTCCAGAGATATTCTATAAATACATGTTACTTTAATACTTTAATAATCTGAAAAACTTATTTAAAAATAAAATATGAAACTCTGATCATATCAGGGCTAAAGTGTATATTAATACAACCTAATTAATTAAGTATGATCAAATGAAATATATGTGATGCAAAGGACTTTATGGAATATATGTATTTAGATATCTTCTGCTAGCATTTATTATATTTATATGTATTAATATGGGCAGCCCCAGTGGCTCAGCGGTTTAGCGCCACCTTAAGCCCAGGGCCTGATCCTGGAGACCCAGGATCGAGTCCCACGTCCGGCTCCCTGCATGGAGCCTGCTTCTCCCTCTGCCTACGTTTCTGCCTCTCTCTTTCCCTCTCTGTGTCTCTCATGAATAAATAAATAAATCTTTAAAGAATATAAATATATATTATAATATATGCAGTAATTATTAATAATAATACTAATCTTACATGTTCACATATCTTTCATTAAGGATATTTACAGAAGTACTAGAAAAATCAATACTAAGTCCTATTGGAAGGAAAGATACTAATGCCTTTAATCAATGTGTTTTCTAAGATATATACTCAAGAAGTAAAGTTATTTACAGGCACTTATAGAAGAAGATGAAGAATAGCCAAATACTCAATGAAGTAAAGGAATTTAAAAAGTTTTCACATTTACTTGTGATCATTTTTTTATTTTGCTGAGAAATGCCAAAAAATATATATATTTTAGAAATAGATTTTACTTATTATTGCCATTTTCAAGTTTATTCAAAAGTATAATGAGCCCTTATGTGCCTGTCACCCAGATTCAGCAGTTAAAAACATTACTCTTAAAATCCTATCACATATTTCATACCACTAAAAGTTCACAGATTTCTTTATCATGCTGCACAGATTCATTATTTTCTCACCTTCTAACTTTTGGCAATATTTTTTAACTAATACATTCAACAATAATTGAATAATTTCTGTTCAGGTGACCTAGCAAATTTCTATTCCAATGTATTGTAATGATACACAAGACTGAATCAGACCTGAGTAGAGTGACTCACACAGTAAATTGGCCCAAGTTCACTTTGCTGGATTTTCCCATGCAATTTTTCTCAACTACATATTTAGAGTATGCCCAAGAGGTAGTAGAAGAAAGGGCTTAATGGCTCATTGATTGCACATGGACTGCCATTATTACACTATAGTCAGGCTTGAAATTAGGATTTTTTTTACTCAGAGTTAGTTGGTCTGCCAACATAATAATCTTCTTAATTATGCAAATGATTATTGCTGCTAAGTTAATTCTTTCCAGATCCAGTTTAATAGGGTCTTCTATCCTTTTCCAGATTATCATGGTTTATTCATTTGGGGATTGTGGACTACTTTCTCTCCCCACCAACTCATATCCAGGCAGTGGCCAAATTTCTCATGCATACATCTCTTTATTTTTACTGTCATCATTGAATTTAGACCCTTCTAAAACAGAGGATAATCCACCAGATGTTAAGATTTGGGAATTCAAATCTCTGGATTACCATTGGATTACTACCAGTGTCCCTTTCTTAGTCTGTTCGCAGTGTGAAGCCAGATTAGTCTTCCAGTAAAATGGCTCAGAGCATGTCTTTCCTTTGCAAGGTTTTTTATTGTCTACCCACTATTTGCTAAATTAAATATGAACATTCTGTCCTTAAGGCTACTGTCCTAATACCCATGCAACATAGTCCTAATACATTATTCTTAGCCTTCTATTTCACCTTTCTATCTACCAAGATCCTATGATTCAACCACAGTGTTGAATGTTTTCAACATTTTTCCTAAATGTTCCTAAATGTTTCCTAAATGTTTCTAAATGTTTCCTAAATGTTCCTTGTGCTTCCCTCATTTGACTGTTGCTAAGGTTTTTCCCATGCCTAGAATATCTTCCCCTGCCTCCGTCTCTACCTCTAAATTCTTCTTCTTCCCTCATGGCTCTTTCTGTGTACAGTCTTTTTTCATAATGTCTCTCCCAATCAGAAGGAATATGCTTTTCCTTTGAATTCCACATGTACTTTATCTCTCAAAGGTTTTCTAGCTTAGAATCATTTGTATACTTGTCTGGATTCACATCTTTAGGTGTGAAGTTGGGGTAATGGTAGGGTAATATCTGTATCTTTGGGCCTTTTGAAGTGCCTACTGCAACTATACATGTTACCAGCTGAGCAATAAGTGTTCATGGAATTAAAAACTCAGCTTTGGGGGCTCTTGGGTGGTTGAATCGGTTAAGCAAGCATCTGTGTTTGGCTCAGATCATGATCTCTGGGTCCTGGGATGGAGCCCCATGTTGGGTTCCCAGCTCAGTGGGGAGTTTGCTTCTCCCTCTGCCCTTCTGCCACCCCCCCAACCCTGCGCTCACTCTCTCTCTCTCAAATAAAATCTTTAAAAAAGAAAAAGGGGTGCCTGGGTGGCTCAGTTGGTTAAGCATCTGCTTTCAGGTCAGCTCATGATCCCAAGGTCCTGGGATCCAGCCTCAAGTCAGGCTCCCTGCTCAGCAAGCAAGTCTGCTTCTCCCTCTCCTTCTGCCCCTGTTCCTGTGCTCTCTCTCTTGCTCACTCTCTCAAATAAATAAAATCTTTTTTAAATAAATAAAATTGGGGCGGGGGGGGGGGGAGACCAGCTATGTAACCTATGAAATGGAAGTCTTCCTTTATAATTCCTCCAAGTTTCAAATATGCTAGTCCTAGCTGGGCTATGAGGAAAACCCCCATAGAATTCAGTTCTCCTGGACCTAAGGAGGATTAGCTGTCTTGTACTCATAATTTACTTAAGAAAGAACAAAAATCGGGGCTCCTGGGTAGCCCAGTGGTTGAGCATCTGCCTTTGACTCAAGGCGTGATCCCAGGGTCCGGGATCGAGTCCCACATCGGGCTTCCTGCATGGAGCCTGCTTCTCCCTCTGCCTATGTCTCTGCCTCTTTCTCTATCAGAATAAATAAATAAAATCTTTTAAAAAAGAAAAAGAACAAAAATCGTGTGCTTTTGTTTTTACATTGTAAGAACATATCTACAGAGATCTTAAAAAAGCCCTATTGATTGCTTATTTATCTCTAAGTTTGTCATAGTCAGTTACTATTAGTTGAAAACGTACTTGCACCTTTATTATGTGTTAACTAGAATAGTGAAGAAAACCCAGAAAATACCTCTTTATATAAAAATCACATTTCTTTTTCAGCATGTTTTTTATTTTGATGAAGTCTTTGGTGAAGCATGCACCAATCGGGATGTATACATGAAGACTACTCACCCACTCATTCAGCATATTTTCAATGGGTATGATAGTTATTATTTGCTTCGCTTGGTTCATATTTCTTTATAAGTATCATTTATGTTTTTTATTTTTTTGAATTAGACATTAATTTGTGTTTTAATCCCATGAATTTAGACTCTTCTGAAGAGTGCATTGTCTCTTTTGGATTTACCAAGCATTCAGAAAATTTCAGCAAAAATATAAGTTGTCAATAATATAATATTATCAAAGTCCTCAGAATAAAAAGGCTTAAGTGGTTGTAGTTTGAACTTTTGAAAATAGGAATTAAATATCCTACCCATAGTTCAGTTACTCTTTTCACTGGAGTGGGATAGGTAAGTGACTGTCACCTGTTTTTTATAGATGTATTTTTTAAATTTTGGAATAATTATTCACAATAAACATTAAATGGGACCAAAAAGGCACTAAGGACTCTGTTGTTTATTCAAAATATAGGCATGTATAGATAGAAAATGTCAAACAGCTTGCTAGAATCACGGATTCCAGAGTATTTTGACTTTTTAAAAATAATTCTTAGAACTTTAAAAATATTGGGATATAATTCAAATAAAATTAGATGCACAGATCTTAAGAAGTATTCAAGTTTGATGAGTTTTGATACTTGTATTTGTCCAAGTAACCAATATCTCAAACAAGATAGTAGACCATTTCCATAACCTCCTAGTAAATCTCCAACTTCCACCCTCAAGTCTTATATAACCACTGACCTTTCCTTTACTATAGATTAGTTTTGCCTGTTCTAGAATGTCACATAAATAGAATCATTCCCATATAGGTTCTTTTATGCTTAGCTTCTTTGGCTTAGCATAATGTTTTTTGGTATTAGTATGTGTTGCATGTATCCATAGCTTTTATTGCTGAATAATGTTCCTTTCTATAAATATACCACAACTTATCCATTTTCCTGTTGATGGACATTTGGGTTATTTCCAGTTTGGGACTATAAAGCTGTATGAACATTCTTGGTCAAGTCTTTTTCTTGGACATGTTTTCATTTATCTTGGGTGAAACCTAGAAATGGAATTACTGGGTCATTGGATAGGTGTAGGTTTATAAGAAAGTATGAAACAGTTTTCCACACACCCATTTTATTTATTTTTTAAAAAGATTTTTATTTATTTATTTGAGAGAGAGTGCAAGAGAGCAAGCACAAGAGGGAGAAACAGACTCCCTGCCAAGCAGGGAGCCTGATGTGTTGCTTGATCTCAGGAACCCAGGATTATCACTGAGCTGAAGGCAGATGCTTAAACTGACTGAGCCACCCAGGCACCTCCACATACCCATTTTATATTCCCAATAGCAATATATGTGAATCGAATTTCCTTCTTTAAAAAAAAATTTTTTTTTAGGATTTATTTATTTATTGGAGAGAGAGCATGAGTATCAGGGGCACCCTGTGAATTGCATTTCTATATCACCATATTTAACATCATCAGTCTTCTTTATTTCAGCCAATCTAATGGGTATATAACTTGATCTCATTTTGGTTTGTATTTGAATTTCCCAAATGCCTAATGATGTTGAGAATCTTTTCAGAAATGTGCTCATTGGCCATTCAGATAACTTCATTTGCCCAATTTTTTTCTTTTTATTGTTGTTTTGTAGAAGTCATTAAATTTTTTTGTATTCTGAGCAGGCTGAAAAAGTGAGATTCCTTTCAGGTTCAATTTCTTATGCACAAAGTCTAGGGAGTACTTTTTAAGAGAGCAAGTTTCTAAAGTTAGAATTTGAATGTTAGGCCAGTACCAATTAAAAAATAAGAGGTGCAGGAGTGCCTAGGTGGCTCAGTCACTTGAGCATGAGCCCTTGATTTTGGCTCAGGTCATGATTTTGGGGTCATGAGATTGAGCCCCCCTGTGGGAGTCAACTTGAGATTCTCTCCATCTCCCTCCCCACTGCTCCACCCCTTGCTCATGCATGTGCACACACACACATGCTCTCATTCTCTCTAGTTCTAAAATAAATCTTTTTTTAAAAAAGTACAAGTTAAATGCACCCATTCTGCGAACCATAAGAGACATTTCATATCCATATTTGTTGTTTTTCAAAAAGCGCATCTCTAAAATATTCAGAAGATGAGGTGCCTGGGTGGCTCAGTCGTTAAACTTTCTACTCTTGATTTCCCCTCAGGTCATGATCTCAGTGTTGTGAGATCAAGTGCCGCATTGGGTTGTGCACTGGGTATGGAGCCTACTTGGGATTCTCATTCTCCCTCTCCCTTTATCCCTCCCCTCTTCACATTTTCTGTCTCTCTCAAAAAAAAAAAAAAAACTAAAAAATGTTCTGAAGATAAGGTAGATATTATTCTTTAGTCTCATTCTGCTGAATCTTCTGTAGTTTGTTCACATTTTCCTCCTTTTCCTCACACTGCCTCTACCAGTGTATCCAAGTACCTATACAGCTGGGAGCCTGGATTCAAAAGACAAGGAGTAACTGGTCTCTACTCAAGCAGCTTAAATCTGATTAGTTACCATCTCTTTCTTCTCACACTTCCATGGTTCTTTTGTCCTATTACTCATTCTTTGGTTTCTTTCTGGCTTCAGGCTCCTTTCTTCATGTTCATCTCTCTGCCCACCTCCAGTATCCCCTTACCTCTGTGTCTGTACATAGACATTTTTTCTTGCTGCAAGAAGCTACTTTTATCATTCATCCATGCAATTCCTGTTCAAGAGTCTGCAATAGCTGCTTACTACTTAACATTATGGTCACTTACTGCTCTGCACTACATAGTTGGGCCTCTGATACTCAGATAATCTTGGCCTCTAGCTCCTCTGAAAACATGTGATCAGAAGATTAGTCTCTGTCTTTCTTCTTCACCTCTAATTCTGCAGTTCTTCACAGTCCTAACCACACACATACCCACCCACATGCGGGAATAGTGATTCTCACTTAGAATCACATGATGTCAGGGCTAGAAGGAATCTTAAAAAAAACAAGTAACCTATTAATTTATTAATGAAAGTGAAAACTGAGGCCTTTAGAAAAGCTCTTTTATGAGTCATTCCTCAACTATTTTGCTTATACTGATTTTACCTCTGTCTAAACTTCCTTAATGTTTATGAGTAGTCACTAACACCTTGTTCATATAGTCTTCCATTGTCTATTGTATTTATTTTAATTCTCTATTTAAAGATTGTATTTATTTATTTGACAGAATATAAGCAGAGGGAGTGGCAGATAGAAGGAAAGGGAAGCAGGCTCCCCAAGGAGCAGGGACACCCCGATGCACGGCTCGATCCCAGGACCCAGGGATCATGACCTAAGCCAAAGACAGACACTTAACCTACTAAGCCACCCAGGCATCCCAATTTTCTATTACTTCTTTCATCAAACTTACCTTTTAGGATTAAGGCAAAATCGTCTACTTGATCTCTAGAATGTGGGGCCGTTGTCTTATGATATAACCAGTTCCATAACAAATTCCTATTAAAAAACTCATGTACTTCTTTGAGAATATTTTTTCTTCTTCCTACATTTTTATAATGTAAAGCTCTGTCCTTTCCTTAAAGGATTGTATGCGTATAGTTGAATTTTGTCAGCTATAAACAGGATTCTGTTTCTGATTTTTGTCATGAAAAATCTATGTGTAGATTAGCATTTCTCTTAGTATATATGTTATACAAATTATTTTTCCCCTAGAGGCAATGCCACTTGCTTTGCATATGGACAGACAGGTGCCGGGAAGACCTACACCATGATAGGAACTCATCAGAACCCAGGACTCTATGCTCTGGCTGCCAAAGATATCTTCAGGCAACTAGAAGTATCCCAGCCAAGAAGGCACCTCTTCGTGTGGATCAGCTTCTATGAAATCTACTGTGGACAGCTTTATGACCTCTTAAATAGAAGAAAAAGGTACTGATTATGAGTGGGGAAACTATAAATCTGTACATCGTTGTTTTAGGCCAGAGTCCCACAGGATCATGGAATCATGGGATTTAATGCGAGGCCTTGTTATATTTCTGCCCTTTTGTGAAATAAGTTTCTTGAATCAGATGAATATTTCTTTTTTTTTTTTTAAGATTTTATTTATTTATTCATGAGAGACACAGAGAGAGAGAGAGTGAGAACCAGAGGCACAGGCAGAGGGAGAATGCAAGGAACCTGATGTGGGACTCGATCCTGGGACTCCAGGATCAGGGCCTGGGCCGAAGGCAGGCGCTAAACCACTGAGCCACCCAGGGATTCCCTGAATATTTATTTTTAAAGATTTTATTTATTCATTTGACAGAAAGCACATGCAGGGGGAGTGGGAGAGGAAGGGAGCCTGATGCGGGGCTTGATCCCAGGACCCCAGGATCACGACCCAAGCCAAAGGCAGACACTTAATCAACTGAGCCACCCAAGTGGCCCAGATGAATATTTTTTAAACCATCAGTTCAGCTAGAGAAAAATGTAAATTAGCCTTCCATTAGTATTTTATTTATTTACTTATTTTTAAAGATTTTATTTATTCATGAGAGACATAGAGAGAGAGAGGCAGAGACATAGGCAGAGGGAGCAGGCTCCATGCAGGGAGCCCGATGTGGGACTCGATCCCAAGGCCCCGGGATCACGACCTGAGCCAAAGGCAAGATGCTCAACCTCTGAGCTACCCAGGCATCCCCCATTTGGATTTTTAATATTTATTTTAGAGAGAGACAGAGCAAGCATGGGGAGGGGTAAAGGGGGATAGAGAGAGAGAGAGACCCAAGCAGACTCCTCCCTGAGCTTGGACCCCCGCACAGGGCTCATTCTTTAGGACCCTGAGACCATGACCCAAGCCAACACTAAGAGTTGGATGCCCAACCAACCGTGCTACCCAGGGGCCCTGCATTAGTATTATTTTTATGTGATCAATATCCTAATGTTTATTGAAAGACTATCCCTTTTATTTTGGTCTATGAAAAAGGTCATGATTTCAGGAAGTCAGGATGTCAACGTGTACTTAAATCCTTTCCTATGCTTTTGACCTATTATTACACTAGAAGAACCATAAATAATATTTCCTGCTTTCTCTTATTTTTTTGCTCTCAATAATCTTAGGGTAAATTTAATGATAGTTTTCTGAAATCAGTAAAAAAAAAAAATCTCTCTTCTTCACATTAGACTTTTAGCTCTTATAAGCCCATGCAACATAATACAGTAATTTAGAAATGAATTCAGTAACTCTGACTTTAAATCCCTATTATATTTTTCTGCATAAAGTTTTATTTAGGTTGAAACAGATGACTTCAATCGAGCAGGAAACAATGAAATTGTGAAGGTACCAACTGACTGGAAGAATAAGGAGGAGAGATGGAATAGGGGACGTGGAAGGATAAAAGGGTGTCATAACAGAATTAACCAGACCTGTGACATGTTGGGAGCAGCCACACCAAGTAGAGAGAGTTGACGCTAAGCATGGTAGAGGGCTGGGGAAGCTAAATCAATGACAGAGACTAGCCTCCAGCAAAGGTATCCAAGCCCCTACAGAGCTGTCCAAAAGGATGTGCAAATTCCACAAGCTTCAGGCAAGCACTGGAATGGGAGGTGGGGGTAGAAGAGCAGCTTGAGTTCAGAAGGGAGAGCATGATAGGGCAGGCCCCCATGGTAGAGGAGTACTAGGATATTAAGTTGTGAAACTGGAGAAACCAGCAACTAGGCTTGGGCAGACTGCCATCTGTGGACTATTCCAAAGGAAAGGGGACCTTCAGGTATGCCACAATTCAGAGAATATACAGGTGTTCAGGGTTCTGTCCCGACACAGCAACTGCCAAATAAAGAAGGGTTCTGCTCTGGGTTTGCTTTGGAGGAGAGTTGCTTTTCTTTTTACCTTCTCTGTTGGTTCTGAAGCCTCAAGTTAGCTCAATCACAGCTTCTCTTCCAAGCCCCAGCACTTATTTATGAGCTCTTTCCAGTCAGAATGTATCTGGGCGCTGGGCTCTGGCTCTGGGGGGCCCAAACAGACCAGGTCAACCACTAGCCACTGACAAAATTCGAAGTTAGAGTAAATGAGTGGTGGTGAAACAAGAAAGAAATTTATTTCTGAGAGGCCAGTACTGGGAAGACAGCAAACTAACATTTCAAAGACTGTTTCCAAAGTACCAAAAATACTTCTAGGTTTACGTAAGGAAAATATAGGACAAAGGTTGGTGGGTACTCCCAGGTGGGTCATGAAGGTCAAGTTGATCATTATCTTGGGGTCAGTCGTGAGTGGGGGCTTGCTGGCTCTGGGCAGTCCTTATTGCTTGAAGGGATAGTTTGGATTCTCTTATAGGGATGCTTTGCCTGCAGGATCTTTTTCCTGAATGAAGAGATAAGCTGGAAAGAACTAATTAGAAAATTTGAGGACAAAATGGAGGTAGTTGAAGTCCTCTTCGTTTAAAGAACAGTTGGCAGGAGAATACAAGTTGCTGTGTTTGTGTGTCTGTCTATCCATTCGTCCGTCCAATTTATTTGGGTTAAGGGACAGTCAAGGTGTCTAGTCAGCTATTTGTGAGTGTCATTCTTTAATAAATTACTCATATATTGCCACGGAGATGGGATTATACTAACTCCTTTCTTTGAAGCTTCCTTTTAGGGCTCACTAGGGAAGAACCTACACTTACTCTGCAAGTGTCTTGGGCTGTAGGTGTTTTCTTTTTGTTTTTATATCTCTGGCTAATTGACTAGTATCTCTTTTGCCTATCTTCCTGGGACTTCTGAAATGTCCTGATCCACTCATGGCATACTTTCTGTTTAGAGCTGTTATGCTGTATCCTGTGTGTTTTTTTAATAAAATGTATTTCCTAAAAGTAATAGTGAGACTTTGACAAAGGTGAACAGAAACATACATGCTCAGTCCACCTCTTAAGCTAGAAACCAAAAGTTATGGATCTTCAAATTAACTTTTTTTTTTTTTTAAGATATAATTGGCTTTTCTAAGCAATTCATGAATCGGGCCTCATTCCATCTAGCTAGTAGAGGGAAGGTCCAGGGAATTGTACAAAATGGAAGATTTTTATAGAAAGGAGGCTAGAGCAAGGAAGTTAGTAGCAAAAGAAAATAAAAGATTGTTCCAGGCAAGATCACCTTCCTTTGTGGGGAAGGGCAGGGGGTCTTATTAGGTAGATTACCTCATTTTCCTTTGAGAGGGATAGAGAGGGCTCATGTGACAGATTACCTCACTAGTGCTTATCAAAAAAAACGTCTGATTGAGAAGTTAAAACATACTTCTGGGGGAGGTTGAAACTGCAATTAGGTATGAAGCCACAAATTAACTCTTAAAAGTAGAGGTTAAATTGTTTTTATACCCTTGCATAAAAAGTGATAGAAATATACTTCTTGCTGGGACACCTGGGTAGCTCAGCAGTTGAGCACCTGCCTTTGGCTCAGGGTGTGATCCCGGAGTCCTGGGATCAAGTCTCACATCGAGCTCCCTGCATGGAGCCTGCTTCTCCCTTTGCCTATGTCTCTACCTCTCTCTCTGTGTCTCTCATGAATAAATTAAAAATATATATATATTCTTGCTTATAAGATTTTAAAATCTAGCAATACATTTTGGGCTGTCCATTAGGAACTTTTCTGGGGTGAGCTTAGGGTGTAGGACCTAGGAAAATATGTTCAGGAATGACATGAGGACTCCAAAAGCTAGGTCCTTCCTTTATTCCAGAAGCCTGACTGTACCAATAGTTGTTTTCTGAGAGGTCACAGAGATTGGTGAAGCTGATTTCTTTCAGTCCTTCTATAAAAGTTTAGAAACTTGGGGTGAAACCTAAACTAAGGAAAAATGTTTGTTTTTTTTAATTTTTTTTAAATTTTTTTTTTTTTTTTAATTTATGATAGCCACAGAGAGAGAGAGGCAGAGACACAGGCAGAGGGAGAAGCAGGCTCCATGCACCGGGAGCCCGATGTGGGACTCGATCCCGGGTCTCCAGGATCGCACCCCGGGCCAAAGGCAGGCGCCAAACCGCTGCGCCACCCAGGGATCCCGGAAAAATGTTTTTTAACGGCACCTGAGTAGCTCAGTTGGTTAAGCTTCTGTCTCTTGGTTTCCATTCAGGTCATGATCTCAGGATCATGGAATCAAGCCCCACATTGGGCTCCCCACTTAGTGGAGAATCTGCTTGTACCTCTTCCTTTGTTCCTCCCCGCCCCCCCCATGCCACCCTTTTGCGCATGCTCTCTCTCTCTCAAATATTTTTTTTTTCTTTTTTAAAATATTTTATTTATTTATTCATGAGAGACAGGCAGAGGGAGAAGCAACTCCATGCAGGAAGCCCGACATGTGACTCGATCCCGATCCCCGGTCTCCAGGATCACACCCTGGGCTGAAGGCAGCACTAAACCGCTGAGACACCCGGGCTGCCCTCTCAAATCTTTTGTAAAAAAAAGAAAAAAATTTTGAGAAAATTATTTCCTTTTTTGGCTGTAAAGTGGAATTCCATTCTTCTTCTTCTTTTTTTTTTTAAGATTTTATTTATTCATGAAAGACACAGAGGATGGGAGAGGGCAGAGACACAGGCAGAGGGAGAAGCAGGCTCCATGCAGGGAGCCTGATGCGGGACTCCATCCGAGGTCTCCAGGATCACACCCTAGGCCGAAGGCAGCTCTAAACCGCTGAGCCACCCGGGCTGTCCAATGGAATTCCATTCCTAACTTCAATCACTATCTTATTAAGGGAGAAAAATAATCTTAGAGTCTTTAATAGATTCAATCAATACATGTGCCTTGATGTATTTGGTTTAATGATGATAGACCACATAACCTTATACAGACCTGAGAAATTCAGTCACAGCACCAGCTCTTCTTCCTCCCTTGGAAGATATATCAAGACTCCTTAGGTTGGAAATAAAGTAGAACCCCACTTATGCTGGCTTAAGCTATTTAGGGGAGGCATTGGCTCATATAATTAGATAAAGCCTAGAGGAAAATCAGGCCTTAGGATCTATTTACTCTAGCAGCTCAGGGATGTTATAAGGACCTAATTTCTTTGCTCAGCTATGCTTTCTATGATGTTAGCCTCCAAAATTGGCTCTCTGGTAAATACAGAATGGCTACCACTGTTCCTAGGGCCATGTACTTTCACTTCCAGAAAGAAAGAGCACCAGCACCTCACTCCCAGGCAACCTAACAACCAGAGACTAGGACTTTATTTTGATTGGACCAACAGAGTTCCCATATCCAATCCTGAACCAATCCCTGAAGCCAGGAATATATGACCCACTGATTGGCATAGGTCTGGATCTTATGTTCATTCTTTTAATTGTAGCCAAAGATGCTGACTTGTTTATAACAGTCAAGGAACATCTCTGAAGCCCAGGGCTGGTGTCAGGAGGTGTGGGAGTAGACCAGGAGTATACACATTAATCTCACTCAAATAACAGAACTGCCATCTAATAGGAGAATGATGGAATGGTTTCTGGGGAGGCAAGAACAAAGTCCATTACAGCAGGTCTGCCATACTAACCATCTTCTTATATCTGCAGGCTCTTTGCAAGAGAAGATAGCAAGCACGTGGTACAGATAGTGGGACTGCAAGAGCTTCAGGTGGATAGTGTGGAGCTCCTCTTAGAGGTAACTCTTCTTTCCTTAGTACCCACCCCCTGCAACAGCCTAAGTACAGAGAAAGAATTCATTTTTCCTATCTAACAAGTAAAATGGACTCAGATTTACCCAAAAGGCTATGACAGGCATTCCTCTTCACATTTATAAAACATGAGTCCTCTAAGAAGACAGCTCCTTTCCCTACAGGATTGTTGTTTCATTGCCACAGAGCATATGGGAGAACCTCATGCATGAGAGGGATACTCTTGTGCTAGTTTCACAGGCTGCTAATGTATATTTCTAAGGTAGTAGGAAAAGCTGCTAGAGAGAACTATTCTTACTTTAAGTAAAAATTTTAATAGGTAAGAGGTGCCTGGCTGGCTCAGTCAGTGGAGCATGTGACTCTTGATCTCAGGGTGTGAGTTTGGTGTAGAGATTACTTAAAAAAAAATTTTTTTAAATGGGTAATACTTTAAAAAAAAATGGGTAATACTTTCACATGGTTTCAAAATTCAAGAGGTACAGGAGTGCCTGGCTGGCTCAGTCAGTTGAGCATCTGACTCTTGATTTCAGCTCAGGTCATGATCAGGGTTGTGAGATCAAGCCCTGCGTCAGGCTCTGTGCTGAACATAGAATCCGCCTGTCTCTGTCACTGTGCTTCTGTTCCTGCCTCTGCTGGTTCTCTCTCTCAAAGAAATAAATAAAACCTTTAAAAATAAATTCAAGAGGTACAATGAAAATGTCCCTTACATTCCCTTTTCAAACTGAGGCAACTAATTTTAATAGTTTTTTTTTATATCCTTCCAAAAGTATTTTTAAATCTTCTTCTATTAAAAGTTATCTTTTGGGGCACTGGATGGCTCAGTCGGTTGGGATCTGCCTTCAGCTCAGATCATGATCTCAGGGTCCTGGGATGGAGCCCCACATTGGGCGACCTGTTCAGTGGGGGTTTGCTTCTCCTTCTCCCTCTCCCCCTCCTCCCTGCTGTGTTCTCTCCCCCCCCCTCTCTCTCTCTTATTCTCTCAAATAAATGGATAAAATCTTTTTTTAAAAAATTTATCTTTTAACACTCATTATTATATATAAACCTTACAAAAATATATAAGAAGACAGAAAAATAAAGGCCACCTCCAACTAACTGTATTTAACTCCCTACCCCCATTGAGATATCCACTGTTAACAATTTAAAATATTTTTTAAAAATTGTTTAAAATATTTAATTTTTTTTTCCTATTCTGGGAATTTATTAATTTATGTACAAATAGATTTTGGTGACTCTTCCTTTAATTCAGTGGTCCTCAACCCTGGCTTTACATTAGATCATTATTAGGGAGCATTTTTCCCTTAAGTAAAAAAAAAAAAAAAATGGTTTAACCATTTTTATTGTGAAAAATAGTACTCTACAGAAAAAATGCCTAAAGCCTAAATGTGTTTAGTATAAAGAAACCAGCACCTTTGTAATCAGTTACTCAGATTAAGAAATACATTTCAAAAAAAAGAAAAAGAAATACAACATTTCAGCACCCCACAAACCCCTAAACAACTTCCTACTCACAGTCCCCTATGATCCTGACATTATGCTTTTTCTTTTTCTTTCTTCCTTTCTTTCCCTTTCTTTCCCTTTCTTTCCCTTCCCTTCCCTTCCCTTCCCTTCCCTTCCCTTCCCTTCCCTTCCCTTCCCTTCCCTTCCCTTTCCTTTCCTTTTCTTTTCTTTCTTTCAAGATTTATTCATTTATTTTTATTTTCACTAGTGCCTTGCGGGGAGGGCCAGAGGGAGAGAGAATCCCAAGCATACTCCCCACTGAGGGTGGGGCCTGACTCAGCTCAATCCCAGAACCCTGAGATCTTGACCTGAGCTGAAATCAAGAGTTGACTACTTAACCAACTGACCTACCCAGGCGCCTCTACGCTAATCACTTTCTTGTTCTTTGTTATAGTTTTGCCACATGTATTATTCATCCATTAGCTATATACCTTCATTTTTGTCTGTATTTAAACTTTGTGTGAATAGAATTCCACTGTGTTTTTTAGTGTCCCCTTTTGCTCAACATTATGCTTTTGAGTTCCATCTATGTTTTTGCAAATGGCTGTGGTTTTGTTTTTATTTACTGTATAGTATTCAATCATGTGAATATACCATAGTTTATTTAACCATTCTGTTAAAGGATTCTGTTAATGGATAGTTGGGGTTGTTTCTTTTTGGTCACTATTCTGAACGTTGTAACTGAATATCCTTACCCATATATTCCAGTACACAGCATATGAGTTCTCTAGGATATTATCTAGTTGTGAAATTATTGGTTCAGAGGACATGCATATCTTCATTTCACTAGATGATGTACCTGCTTTCCAAAGCTATGTACATTACTATAAGCAGCATACGAGCAATCTGATTGTTCTTCATTCTTGCCAGCACTCTCTGTTGATTTTTAAATTTTTACCAATCTGGAATTGTTTAATTATATCCCATTGTGGTTTTATTTTGCATTCGATGATTGAGAATTAAATGAATAGCTTTTCATATATTTTTTTTAAGATTTTGTTTTTAAGTAATCACTATACCCAATGTGGGACTTGAACTCATGACCCTAAGATCAGGAGTCACTTGCTCTACCAACTGAGTCAGATGCCCCACTTTTCATATTTTTATTTATCTTATAGGTTTCCTCTTTTGAGAATGCCAGTTAAGGTCTTTTCCTCATTTTTTTTTAAGATTTTATTTATTTATTCATGGGAGACACACAGAGAGAGGCAGAGACATAGGCAGAGGGAGAAGCAAGCTCCATGCAAGGAGCCCGATGTGGGACTTGATCCTGGGACTCCAAGATCACGCCCTGAGCCAAAGACAGCCACTCAACTGCTGAGCCACCCAGGTGTTCCATTTTCCCTCATTTTTGGGTTGTCCATCTTTCTGTTACTGATTTGTGTATTCTGGATGTGAGTCATTTGTCAGATATTTGTGTCTTAAGCATGTTGTCTCATTCTGTGATTTGTCTGTCTTTTTAGTTTCATTAGTCTTTTTAATGTTTGCTTGAGTCTCCCTGAAGCCAATTAAATCAGAATCTCTTGGGATGAGGCCCAAATGTAGATATTATTATTTTAATCTGAAATATAGGTTACATACATTAAAATTCACCTTTTTAAAGTATATGCAGGGATCCCTGGGTGGCGCAGCGATTTGGCGCCTGCCTTTGGCCCAGGGCGCGATCCTGGAGACCCAGGATCGAATCCCACGTCGGGATCCCGGTGCATGGAGCCTGCTTCTCCCTCTGCCTGTGTCTTTGCCTCTCTCTCTCTGTGTGTGTGACTATCATAAATAAATAAAAATTAAAAAAAGAAAAAAAAGTATATGCAACAGTTTTTTTTTTTTAAGTTATTTATTGATTTATTTGAGAGAGAACGGGGGCGGGGGGAGAGAGAGAGAGAGAGAGAGAACAAGTCAGGGGAGGGGCAGAGGGAGAAGCGGACTCCCCACTGAGTGGGGAGTCCGATGCAGGACTTGATCACAGGACCCTGGGATCATGACCTGAGCCAAGGGGCAGCCACTTAACCAACTCAGCAACCCAAGTGCCTATTTTTTTAATATATATCAAAAAAAATTTTAATATATATTAAAAATATAAAAATATATTTAAAAATATATTTTTTAAAATATTAAAAATATAAAAAAATATTAAAATATATATATTTTAATATATATTAAAAATCTTTTTTTTTTGAGAGAGAGAGCACATACATGGGGATGGGTGTAGGGCAAAATCAAGAGTTGGATGCTTAACCAACTGAACCATTCAGGCACCCCAGTATAATTTTCTTATTAAGTTATAATCCACATATCATAATAATCACCCTTTTAAAATATAGAATTTAGTGATTTTTAAAGAATATTCAAAATGTTGTGCAGCTATTACCACTATTGAATTCCAGAACATTTTCATCACCTCAAAATGAAACCCTGTACCATTAGCAGTTACTCCCTATTTCGTCTGCCTCTAAGCCTGGCAAGCACTAATTTCCATCTTGATGAATTTGCCTATTTTGGCCATATCATATAAATGGAACCATACAACATGCCACCTTTTGTCTCTGGCTTTTTTCATTTAGCATATTTTCAAAGTTCATCCATGTTGTAGCATATATGTGTACTTCATTTTTATGGCTGAATAATATTCTATTATGGATATATTATTCATATTTTATTCATCCATTCATCAGTTGATAGGTTCTTTGCACTTTTATAAAAACCATGATTATGAATAATGAATGCTGCTATGAACATTCACGTACAAGCTTTTGTTGTAGACACAGGTCTTCAGTTTTCTTGAGTCTATGCCTAGGAGTAGAATTACTGGGTCATACTTTTTGAGGAATTGCCAAACTGTTTTCCAAAGTGGCTGCATTATTTTATATTCCCACCAACAATGTATGAAGTACATGTTATTTTAAAATCTCACCAGGTTGGGTAGCCCTGGTGGTTCAGCAGTTTAGTGCCGCCTTCAGCCCTGGGTGTGATCCTGGAGACCCAGGATCGAGTCTCACATCGGGCTCCCTGCATGGAGCCTGCTTTTCCCTCTGCCTGTGTCTCTGCCTCTCTCTCTTTCTCTGTGTCTGTCATGAATAAATAAATTTTAAAAATCTAAAAAAAATCTCACCAGGTGATTCTAACATGCAGCCTGCAGCCATTATAGTCATTCTTTTAGTATATCCACCAACCCTGTCTAGAGTCAAAGAGAGAAGGCTAGAAGGGCAGGCTGGGTACTTGATAAAACCTGCCTTTAAAACAGCTTCACAATATACCCTTCCAGAGACTTAGGTGTATGAAATGGCAAGATGACCCACTATTGATGTGTTTTTGTAACAGTTTCCTTTTCCTAGGACAAATAGGTAAATTTTGCTTAAGGGCTGGGACTTCATATTTGTGTAATTATCATATTCCTGATTCCTGGGATCTAAAATTTGAGGGTAGCACATAAGTGGGCTATTTTAGAGTTACCTAAGAGCCAAGAGCCCCTTTCTAGGAATTGTAAAGG